ATCCTTAAGTATCATCCAGCAGGCCAGTGCCAGAAGAGGAAATAGAACCCAGATCTCCTAAATCCCAGTCCAGTGCTTTTTCAGCAAAATGACTCTAGAGGAGGGTGACATGGCGGAAGGAACAGATGATAAAAATGACTTTGGGGGGGGGGGGGGGGGGGGGGATTAGTTTTTTAGAAGGAACTCAGATCATTATGTCATAACAGTTATACCTTGTCTCAAAATTCTTCTTAATGTACAAGCAGTCACCTGAAGCCATATTCTGCATCCTAATTTAGGGAAAACACTCACTGAAAAACCAGTACTAAAAATCAATGGGCGTTTTGGTGGCCTCATCCCAAGAGGTACTCAAATCTGTAACCCTAATTATATTCAGTGAGTTCAAAGTGCTTTCAGGATCCAGACCTAAGTAAAGATTGCAGAATAAGGACTAGAGAGAATAAAGGAAAGAAAAGAAGCATTTTCCTTCCTGCATAAATATTGTCAACATATATACTTACATACTGAAAGTAAATATACTTTAAAAAAAAGATTATAACAAATATTAGCAAATTTAATCACTAATTGCAAGGTTCCCTAGCTGAATTTAAAGAATTTATGAGGACAATACCAATTTTGGTAGTACTCCAAATGTGCAAACTGAGGGGAAAGAATAAAAGAAGGTTAAAGATCAAACCATGATAGGTCAAAAGTTTAATATTCGCTTTTAAAAAAGCAAATATTTTACGACTTGTTTAAAGCCAAAAAATAAAACAGTGTAGCATTTATATAATACTAATATAACAAGCCTGTATGTATGCATAATGAAAAAACAAAATTTAAATTTCTAGTTTCTGAGTGGCAATTCTGACCAAGAGTAAGAACAGCTATTTTTAAATTCATATAAATAACAAAAAATCCTATTGCCCTTATAAATAATAAAACAAGCAGTAGAAGAAGCAATTTGCAGTTACAATAATTACAATGCTAACACCACAGTGTTTAAATTAAACGCACCCACCCGAGTTTGTTATAGCTATATAAGAACAAACGTTGCTCATCTTACTCATGCAAGTAATTCAGTTGAAAGGGAGGGCTCACATAAAAACACAAACATTGCTGTTCCTACAACAGTGCAGAGGAAAAGCCATTTTACGGAAGATCAAACACCACAGACCAAGCACATGGCCGAGATCACAGAATAAGTCTCCTCTTACAAATTTGTCTCTTAAAACATTGTTTCTTTCAAATGCCTCACTGCAGAACCTACACGTGCAACTCCGCTAGCATCCATGCAAGACGTGCGTTAGATAGAACACATTTCTAAAAAATTAACGAAACACTTACTGAAGCAAGAGAGCAGAGCACGTCCGCCCATCAGACTACTAGACCTTTTGCGGCAATTTCTGCAAACGACAGACAAGTTCCCAGAATTCTCTAGCAGCATGAAATGCGCGTGCTTGATTAACCCTTTAGGCGGAGGAAAGGAAAAAGCAATGAATGGGAGGGATTGTAAACGGAGAAAGAGAACTTTTTATACTAATAAATCAAGGAAATAAGAAATAGAAAGCTGATAGTGAATGCCACTAACAGTTCACAGTCTATCTGTGCATGAAGCTAGGGATTTTACAGTCATTTATTTACAGCAGACGACTCTTTTGACGCATACAGGCCTTGGAGTTGCAAGGAGCTCTGGACAGGAGGATCGATGTGTCCCTCCTGTGCCCCATTGACTTCAATGGGGCTCTTCATAAATGTAGTGATCTGCCTATGTAGATCTGATTGCATTATCCGGGTGGCAGTCTAATAGACTGTGAAATAATTTCCCAAGGGAAGTAGTTGAGCCCCATCCTGGCTACATTTAAAACTAGATCGGACAAACACCAGAAAATGCATGACAGTGAATAATTTTGCATTGTAAGGTTACGGACTACAGCTAATAGATCTTTTTCATCTCTAGATTATTTGATTCTATGATATAATGGAGGAAATATAGCATCACTCTATAGTGAAACATTGATAGTTAATGGGTTAATTGGATGATACCCTACTAAGACTAGTACTGTTTACTATTTTACTAGGGCAAATGCTCTTGGGAATATTATGGTATTAAATAACAACAAATAATTAATTCCTTATACTTATTGTATATATCAGCTTTAATTATGAAGAATTGTGGGGATACTGTAGCATGTTAAATTTAGCATTCAAATGGTACAAAGGCATAGGTGCTGGAACTAGGAGTGCTGCCGCACCTGTCTTGAAGTAGTATTAACCAACCCAAATACATGGTTTCCACCTTCAGCACCTCCATTATAAAAATTGTTCCAGCAACACTGCGCAAAGGTGTTATTCATTTTGCTGCAGTTTCTTTGCTTTCCAAGAGTCGTAATATAGTTGTGAAGGACTCACTCTTTGTTGAATTTTGCTCATATCTTGATAGGAGTAAGTAATTCCTCTGAATGCAAATAGGCGTTGTGTATGCATGAAAAATTATATGCTCTAAAAAGGCACAGTATCATGTTGCATCAGATCTTTTTAAATTATGAGTATCAAAATAAAATATCAGTTTATTAAATACTTTTACATATATGTGTAACTCAAAGAATCATTGGTTTAAAAAAAAATCCCACAATCAAGCTCTGGAGTAGCTTTCGTCTTGTAAGTGGTACGATTGACTTCAATGGAACTACTATGGGGAGAAAATTTACTCCAGAGCATAAACAATTGCAGTATTGGGCCCTAAACTGGTCAACAGTAATTGATCTATATATAATCACTATGGCCTTGTATGAACTAAAAAAAATATGTTTTTTAAAATTTGAGTTTGCTTAATGGAACTAGTTCAATTCAGTTGAAAATCTCATTTACTACCAATCTAGATTAAATTGTTACACTGTCTACACTAGTGTTAAGCCGTTTTCAATTGAGCTAAGCTACTTTGATTGCGCTAACTCAATTGAAACAAAACATCTTTTTTCAGTCTAGACAAGGTCTATGTAAGGAAGATTTGAAATAAATGATTCAGTCTGACAATTTTTCACACCAATGAGATTTCTTGGTAATCCTCTCATTCTTGTCTAAAGTATGTGTGATATTGTCAGAGTAGTATCAAATGCTTTAATTCTTATTTATCAAAGGTGCCTCTGTCAGAGTTATAGGTGCTGTATAATTATTAAAAACTGAATAGATCTATCATGGTATAATGAAGACCTTTTGATAACAATGTGGTTATATGCAATAAGCTAAAAGATCCAGTAACATCTAGCCCAGTGTCCTGTCTTCCTACAGTGGCCAATGCCAGATGTTTCAAATGGAATGAATAAAACATGGCAATTGTCCATCTATATATCCCATTGTCCAGTCTAAGCGTCTAAGCATCTGGCAGTCAAAGGCTTAGGGACACCCAGAACATGGGGTTGCAGCCGTGACCATCTTGGCTTATAGCCTTGATGGACCTTTCCTCCAGGAACTTTAATTATTTTTTGAATCCAGTTATAGTTTTGGCCATGACAACATCCCCCGGCAGTGAGTTCCACAGGTTGACTGTGCATTGTGTGAAGTATTTCCTTTTATTTTAAACCTGCTGCCTATTAATTTTATTTGTTGACCTTCGATTCTTGTGTTATGCAAAGGGATAAATAACACTTTACTTTCTCCACAGCATTCATGATTTTATAGACCTCTATCATATTCCCCCAATAATAATAGACTATAAATAAGATCTCCGCAGCAATTGATTTGCTGTCAAATTAGTGTAGGTTGGCTTTCCAGAAACTAACACATGCAGCTTGTCTTGAGGACATATACTATGTATAGAATTTACTTTGGGTAAATTAATATTTGAAAATTTAACTTTGTCACTCAAGAATACAGAATCATCACATAACTGTATGCCATCACCCAATTTGGCTATTTTCTCTCACAGACCAAATAAGGAAAGGGGTAAGGCTGCATCAGTGGAACACCAAAATATGTGGGTGAGAAAGTGCTTTGGGGATAATATCCCCAAATATCTGCCACAAGGGCAGCTGGATTTAGTGCAGCTGATCCGTTTGTAGTGATGATCTAGTAAAACATTTCCCAAACCAGGGACTGTCTGGCTAGCGGAGCCAAGGCAGAGGCTGACTTTCAGGTTGGGGTTTATTTATTTATCTGAATTTAGTTTCTGGATTCCGGTCTCCCCGCCAAACCTACAGACGCAGGTCAGATCCAGACTTCCTAAGAGCTGGGGTTTCCCTCACATGGTCTCTCTGTAAACACGCTCTGCCCTGTGCGTGACTTTACACAGCTGCTCTCTGTGTGTGCAGCCATCAGCGCACGGAGCCGCGCCGCACCCCCGGCTGCAGCGGTCACCCGCCGTCTTTCTCTCGCGCACGGGAGGCGCAGGGGAAGTGCGGGGCCTGGTGCGGCGGCGCTGCCTGAGCCCCATGGCGGAGCTCCCACTGGCTGCGGCGGGCTCGGGCCCGGCCGGAGGCGGCAGGCTCGGGCTCCAGGCGATCACGGCCCCGGATCCCCGGCCTGCGCGGAGGTGAGTGGTGCCGGGCGTGCGGGTCTCCCGCGGGCGGGCGGGCAGGCAACCAAGCCCCCGCCGCGCGCCTAAAGGCGGACGCGATCCCGGGGCAGCCCTCGCCCGGGCCGAGCCCCATTTACTGGCCCGGTGGGGGAGGGAAGAGGGAGCCGCGTTTCATCCCGTGGGTGGAGGGGCAGCGCGGCCCCGCGCCCACCGGTGCCCTGTGTGGATGGGGGGGGCAACTCGGTGCAGCAACATGGCTGCCGGGGCCCATCCTCCTCCCCAGGCACCTGGGGGGGGGGGAGGGGAACGTCCGCGGGCCTCCCCCCCCCGAGAGGCTGCGCTCTATGGTTCCCTGTGGGGGCAGAGCGGCTGATTGACGTCCCGTCATGCTTCTGGTTCCACAGAGGGCGACCAATGGCGGGAGGGCATAAAGGGAACGCGTCGGCGGGGGGGTTGGCCCGTGGCTCCTTGCGCTGGTGCATTGTGGGGTAGTGGAGGACCCGCGTTGCGGATGGAGGGGGAGTCGAGCCGTGGGGCTGTCATGGCGACTAACATCGAGCAGATCTTTCGGTCCTTTGTGGTCAGCAAGTTCCGGGAGATCCAGGAGGAGCAGGAGCAGCAGCAGCAGCTGGGCGGGTAACGAGCCGGCTCGGGGCCGCGGGGAGGCGGAGTGGGACGGGAGCCTAGTGGGAGCGGAGTCGGGGTGGGGGCGGGGAGCGGTGTCCAGGGGGCAGTTGCGGGACGGGGACAGTGGGAGGGAGGGTGGGGGCGGGGAGGGATAACTAGGGACAGTTAGGTGGGGGAGGGGCGGCCGTTGCGGGTCACTCGAACATACAGGGCCTGGCCCGGCGCTCAGCGGCGACATCCGGTTATGGTGCAAGCAGGCCGCTGCCCCTCCGGGCGGTCCAGTTTTTCAGTGAAAATAACAAGTTTGGATGGGCTAATTTCGCAATGCTTTGATGCTCCTCAGAACACGTGCACGCTGGTGTGTTTTCAGTGTGGAAAAGAGTGCTTGGTGGGGTGGTTTTTTTTTTTTTTTTGGCGAGGGGAGGGAAGAGGGAAACGAAATTTCTGTGTTGCGAAAAGGCCTGGGATGAAACAGTGAGAAAATATTTTCTTCCCTTTGGCATAGTTCTAGTGACTAACAAAGTATTTTGTCTGAGAACGCAGTAAGTAAAACAAACCAAAAGATTAATATTTCACTAAAGTGCAAGGCCGCATCAGGAGGCTAAAATATTCTTTAGAAGGTTTGGCTGTAAGAAATGTGAATACATTACCTTTAAAAAATAAAAATAAAGCTCGAAATTACTTGAATTTTGTTAATATTTTTCTCGGTTAGTGGAAAGGTAGAAGGCCAGCAGAATGGTGAAACAGTCCCAGCTGAGCAAGCAAACACTTCAGATGACACAGTTACGGGTGCTGGGAGTCTTCAGAATGATCAGATAGTTCAGAAAATAGAGGAAGTACTGTCTGGGGCCCTTGATACAGAGCTACAGTGTAAATCAGGTAAATGAAAATGCTTAAACATTGCAAATATGTTTTTCTTCAAGGGGACACCAACAAGAGTAAATCTAGTCAGTTTTTTGAAAATGAAATAAAAGTTTCTAGTGCTACTCTTGCCGTGCACTTCCCTGATACTTTTTATGGTTTTATAATATTTTACATATATGTAAAAATGTAATATATATTTTACATATATAATAATACTCTGAAACTGATTATCCATATAGTGCTGTCAAGTGCACAAATTAAGAGAAAAGTAATCCCCCTTATTTCTTTGTTATATTAATATTAAATTTTATTTGTGACAGTAACAGGATAAAAAAATCAGAGAATATAATTTTTTTCTTAATTGACAAATGCCTCTTTAAAGATTACTTATGAAATAAGGCATGTAACAATTCATAAGTATCTTCTTCAAGGCATTGTTGTGCAGTTCTAACTCTGGCAAAACTTTCTGAAATCAATGGAAGTTTTGCCTGAGTAAGGTCTATAGGATTACTCCTCACATCATTTATCAAACTACAAAATTGTATGACCAAGCATATTAATCAGATAGCAAGGTATGAAATAAAGTAATTTAATGGTGGTGGTATTAGTGAATAATGTACTTATAATTGGGGAAAAAACAGGCATTCAGCTTTGTGTTGCTTCAAATGTAATACACTAAATAAAATGCCTGTATAGACCCTCTGATAACAATGAATCCAGCAAAAACGAGTCCTGCAAACATTGTCTACATTTGAGTAGTTCCAGTGATTTCAATGGGATATTCACATGAGTAAAGTTACTTGTATATGTAAGAGTTGGCAGTATTGGGGTCCTACTTGATTACAAAAAATGCATTTTCATTGTTTTGTCATGGAAATGAGAGGACTGCTGTGCACTTGGTAAGTATAGATTCTAAGTATTTCCACAGAAGACAATGTAGAACATTGTGGTTCATCTTTGATCTGAATAATCTCAAAGGCTACATTTGCAAATTTTTCTGATGATATTTCTTCTTTCCATAATGTACCATGGCTTTTCTACAGTGAGCATTTTCAGAAATCTTCCTTGCAGTTGGTGTAGAACTGGTGTTGGTTGAATAGTACAAGGAACAGTGGGAGCACTAGTGCAAACTGGCCATTCGTGTTTTTAAAACTTGTCTAATTCTTCTCAAAAGAAGACTAGATAATTTGGTAATAAAAAGACTTGCAACCATTATGCGCTAATGCGCCGCCCACCAGTAATGGTAAAGGTGAAGCTACAGCAGTGATTTGGGATTTATTGAAAAAGTTAGCCAGGAAAGGACACTGACCCTATATTATTGATACTCTTCATGGCAGTTGAAGGAACATGGATAGAAATGCCTTTTTTTTTTTTTTTTTTTAATTAAAACACTTAGCTAATATAGCCTTAGTCATACAAACACTCGTGTGTGTAAAGTTACGTGCATGTTTTCATGATCAGGGCCATATGCGTTTTATAGTATGCCCATCATCATAGAATCTGAATGTTTACTTTTTATATCAACTCTTTTATTCCAAGATCACTTTCTCCTTTTAAGTATTGTTTTGAGGATAGAAGTAAATCATAGTCCTATGTTACAGCTTAAGGTTGCTGGGTTGCTGCAACGTACAAAATTTTTTTTTCAGTGCAACTATTTTTTTAAAGGAACCCGGCAGACTAGAATTATATACTGTATAAAAAAATGTTTTTACTAATTACACTTTAGCACCCAATTCTGCAAGTATTTACATGCTTACTTCACATGCCCTTGGTTTCAGTGGCACTACTCATAGTTAAGCATGTGTGTAAATCTTTGCAGGATTGAGGCGTACTTAAGGAGGCTTTAAGATGTTTGTATACCTCCCTGCTTAAGCGCTTTGTGTATTTCTCAAGTTCTCTCAGATTGGGTAATTAAAGCTAGTGAATTTGAATTGTTTTATTTTTAGCTTCTGATCAGTTTTTTGCTAGTCTTCATGTACGAGCAAATGCTGCAATGTGTGGTTGCAAACTTTTTTTTTTTTTTTAAAGAAAAAGTGTTTCCATTGGAATTAATAAATAACCTTGAGAAATTTTCTTAAATATTTGTTAAGGCTTTTTAAACATACACATTCCATTTTAGGAAAATGTTGACCTATCACTTAAAAAAAAAAAAATCTTAAGACGTATTTTAACAACTAAAGTAAAAGTTTTGTTCAAGTCTTTTTCTTGGATAATGCAAATGGCACATTTTCTTCACAGTTGTGTAATTTTGTAATATGTGCTATTTTTTTCAGGCATAGTCTTTGCTGTCTTCCAATCATTATAAATGTTTTAGCTACTGATCAAAGGTCAGTTGCTATCACATCATCTTAACAGTCTTATTTGTTGTTTTAAGTATAGAAATCCTACCAAAAAATTGGCAAGAGGCGGTTTGAAGATTGGTTTAATTTTTTTGAAAGCTAAATTTTTGGTTTTAACCCAGACATTTTAAGCCAGTGGTCCCCAACCTTTTTCGTCTGGCGGGCGCCAGATGACGAGCCACGGAGGACCGTGGTGGCAGACGAGCATCCGCCGAAATGCCGCCGACAAATGGTGTCATCCAGCGCTGAAATTTGGCTGCATTTCGGCGGATGCTCGTCTGCCAGACAGTATGCGGGCGCACTTAGATGCCCCGGCTGGTGCCATGGCGCCCACGGGCACCACGTTGGGGATCCCTGTTTTAAGTTCTTACTGAGGGAAAATGTAACTTGTGATGTTATCATAAAAAATGTTGATTTCAGGTTGTGTATAACTTTATGTGCACCTGTGCCCAATTACTGGTTTAAAATATTTTATATTTGAATTTCTTTTTATAAAATTAGTTTTAAATAAATGTCTTCTTTTTTTTTTTTTTAAGGTGTGGAGGAAGATTCGGTGAAAAATAGCTCTTCATCTACAAAAAGAGGCCCTACTGACGAAGGAGATGATGAAATTCCAAGAAAAAAGTCAAAGAAGAACAAGAAACACAAAAGCAAGAAGAAGAAGAAGAAAAAGAAGAAGAAAAGGAAGAAAGAAAAAAAACATAAAAAGCAGCCAAAGGAATCAAAATTAAGTGCACAGTATGGAGAGCATGCAGATTTACAACCTGCTTCTCACTCAAAGACAGAAAAATTGGGCTCAAAGTTGATCACACAGCATGGAGGGCATGCAGATTCAGATCTTGCTGGTCAAATGCAGCCAGAAGAATTGGGCACAAAATTGAGTGCAAAGTACATGGGGCATTCAATTAAAAGACTCATACCTCATTTGCTATCAGATTCTGAATCATCTGTGGAAAAACTTGGGAGTGAAAAAACAAACTTGGCCTTGACTGATACACACAGTTCAGAAACCAGCAAATTGGATACCCAGGAAGAAAATACTAGTACAATGAAAATTCAAGAGCAAGCTAAAGTAAAATTATTGGTGAATAAGACTAATGAAAGTATATATCATATAGCTATTAATATGAATGCAAAGGGTGGACCTTTACCAGTTAAAGACACTGAAAATGGTACTGTGTCTACCAACAGAACTGGAGTTGCTGGTAAATCTGAAATTGAAAAGGATTTGGAAGCTATTCCAGCCTCTGAGATAACAGAAGAAATAAAAGATTCAGAAGCTACTTCAGAAGCTACTCTGAAATCGATGGGCATGGTGGAGGTGAAAGAATTAGAAACAACCTTAGAATCTGAGGCCATGGCAAAGATTAAATTTTCAGAAGCAATTCTAAAATCTCGGACTATGGCGACTTCAGAGGGTTTGGATGCCCCTCTAGAATCTGTGGCCATAGCAGAGGTGAAAGCAACTCTAGAATCTGTGGCTGTGACAAATGATTTGGTAGAAACTCCAACATCTGTAGTTGTAATGGAGATGAAAGCTTTGGAAGAAACCGCAGAATCTGTTGTCATGACAGATATGAAAGGTTTGGAAGCAACTCTAGAAACTGTGGGTGTGGCAGAGGCAAAAAGTTTGGAAGGAAGTCTTGAATTTGTGACTGGGCCAGATTTCGTAGCAACTTCAAAATCTGTGGCCAAGGCAGAGGTGAATGGTTTGGAAGCAATACCAAAATCTGCATCTATGGTGGAGGTGAAAGGTTCAGAACCTGTTGTGAATGCAAAAGATTTGGAAGCAGCTCTAAAACCTGCGATGGAGATGAAAGATTTGGAAATAACTCCAGAATTTCTACACATGGAGGAGGTGAAAGGTCCAGAAGGAGCCCTAGAATCTGTGGCTATGGCAATAGATTTGGAAGGAACCCTCAAACCTGCTCCTCTGGCCGAGGCAAAAGATTCAGATGCACCATCACTGTCCCCGCAAATAGAAGATATGAAAGAGTCAAAAGGATTCCTAGAATCTGTGGCCATGGCAAAAGGTCCAGAAACAATCCTATACCCTGTGGGGGTGGCAAAAGGTCCAGAAACAATCCTAGACCCTGCAGGGGTGACAGAGGTGAAAGATTTGCAAGGAATTCCAGAATCGCTGCACATACAGGATATGGAAGCTTTGGAAGCATCCTTAGAACCTGTGGTCATGACAACAGGTCTGGAAGTGGCTCTAGAACATGTGGCTGTGGTGAAAGGTGCAACTCCACTTTCTATGCAAATGGAAAAAGTGAAAGATTTGAAAGGAGCCCTAGTAGAATCTGTGGCAGTGGCAAAAGGTTCAGAAACAGCCCTAGAACATGTTGTCTTGGCAGAGAATAAAGATGTGGAACCAACTTCACTATCTCTGCAAATGGAAGATGTGAAAGATTCGGAAGGAGTTCTAGAATCTGTTGCCATGGAAGAAGGCTCAGAAGCAACCCAAGAACCAGTGACAGAGGCAAAAGACTTGGAAGCAATCTTAGAATCAGTCTCGGAGGTGAAAGGTTCAGAACCAGCACCGCTGTCTCTGCAGATGGAAGATGTGAAAGGTTCAGAAGGAGGTGTAAAATCTTTGGCCATGGCAAAAGGTTCAAAACCAACCCTAAAAGCTGTGGCTGTGGGGGAGGGAAGAGGTTCAGAAGCAACTCTGCT